GGCCGCGCACGACCAGATCGAAGGATGTCAGGGGATACGGACCTACTCGTGTCCATCCCAGAGGGCGGGGAGCATCCACGCCTGACGCTCCGCGAGATCCGCCAGGGTACTCCAGATTTCGTAATAAAGGGAGGGGGGTCTCATTTCGGGGGGCGGGTCTCTTCCAGGCCATCTTGCAGGGCCTGGGGGGTCTGGGGGCGATGTCTTGGAGGGTGCTCCCACGGGGGAGGTCTGAACTGGCTTGTCTTGGAGGGTCCAGGCCCCCTCCCTTTTACTACGAAGTCTGGAATATGCTGCACATGTCCGCGGTCCGACTGATACTCCGCGAAACACTCCAAGCATCAGCCCCTGACCCAAACCGAGGGGAGAACAGACCTGCAACTGTATGTCCCGGCCGCCGTCGCGTTGCCAGGGCGGCGGGCGCGTGTCAGGCCCGAAACTGGAAGACGGCCTCCAGAGTAGAGGCCGACGAAGACAGCAGAAATCCGGGAAAGCCCACAGGGGCGCAAGGAGGAGGAGGAGGAGGAGCACGAGGACGAGGACGAGGACGAGGACGAAGACGAGGACGAGGACGAGGAGGAGGAGGAAAAGGAGAAGGAGGAGGAGGAGGATGAGGAGGAGGAGGAGGAGGAGGAGGAGGAGGAGCGGCCCTTCGGGCAGCCTACCGGGCCTGGGTGCCGCCGTCCAGGGGCGACCGCCGACCGCCTCGAAGAGAGCTTGGATCCGAAATCCGTGGATCTGGCGCGCCGCACATACAGGCGACTACAAAAAAAACACCTCACAGATCGAGATTGCCAACCGCGGCCACGCGATTGAGGAGAGGGGGCGGCAGACGACGGCGGCGACGACAGGGGGGGCTCCCAGGACCCGAGGCGGGCGAGGAGCGAGGAAGGAGGGAGAGAGCCAGCAGGCCAGGCGGCGCAGCATTGCACGGGGCTGCTGGGCGCGAAGCCGCCGGGTGGAAAAGACCCCCACCCCCCCCCCCCTCCTCCTCCTCCTCCTCCTCCTCCTCCTCCTCCTCCTCGTCCACCTCGTCCTCCTCCTCCTCCTCCTCTCCTCCTCCTCCCCTCCTCCTCCTCCTCCTCTTCTTCTTATTATTATTATTATTATTCTTCTTCTTATTATTATTCTTCTTCTTATTATTCTTATTAATCTTCTTCTTATTATTATTATTTTTATTCTTCTTATTATTAGTATTATTCTTCTTATTAGTATTCTTATTATTCTTATTATTCTTCTTATTATTATTATTAGTATTATTCGTCTTATTATTCTTCTTCTTCTTATGATTATTATTATTATTCTTATTCTTAGTATTATTCTTATTATTATTCGTATTCTTATTATTATTCTTATTATTTTTCTTATTCTTATTCTTCTTATTATTCTTCTTATTCTTCTTATTCTTCTTATTATTCTTCTTATTCTTCTTATTCTTCCTATTCGTATTATTATTATTATTCTTATTCTTCTTAGTATTATTCTTCTTCTTATTCTTATTATTATTCTTACTATTATTATTATTATTCTTCTTATTATTATTACTATTATTATTACGATTATTATTATTACTATTATTATTAGTATTATTATTATTCTTCTTATTATTGTTAGTCTTCTTATTATTCTTCTTATTCTTCTTATTATTATTCTTATTCTTATTATTATTCTTCTTATTAATATTCTTATTATTATACTTGTTCTTCTTCTTCTTATTATTATTCTTAATATTATTATTCTTCTTATTATTATTCTTCTTCTTATTATTATTCTTCTTCTTCTTATTATTATTATCCTTATTCTTCTTCTTCTTATTATTATTATTCTTATTCTTCTTCTTATTATTAGTATTATTATTAGTATTATTATTATTAGTATTAGTATTGTTCTTCTTCTTGTTCTTAATTTTCTTATTATTATTATTATTAGTCTTAGTAGTGTTCTTCTTACTACTACTAGTAGTATCATTATTATTGTTATTAATATTATTAGTATTATTAATATTATTATTAGTAGTAGCATTACTAATATTATAATTATTACTATTTTTATTATTAGTACTATTATTAATAATACTATTATTGTTTTATTATTAGTATTATTATTAGTATTAGTATTATTAGTAGTATTATGATTAGTAGTAGTAGTAGTATTACTAGTATTAATATTATTATTATGATTATCATTACTATTATTATCAATACTATTATTGTTATAATTAGTATTAGTAGTAGTAGTAGTATTAGTATTATTATTATTGAATTAGTATTAGTATTATTATTAGTATTATTATTGATACTATTATTATTAGAACTATTATTAGTAGTAGTATTAGTAGTAGTAGTAGTAGAAGTAGTAGTAGTAGTAGTAGTAGTAGTATTCTTACTCGTATTATTCTTATGTTTCTTCACTTCCGTATTATTAGCATTCTTCTTCTTACTATTATTCTTATTTGTCTTATCATTGGTATTCTTATTCTTCTTCTCATGATTATTATTATTCTTGTTATTCTTATTCGTCTTCTTATTATTCCTCCTCCTCCTCCACCTCCTCTTCCTCCTCCTCCTCCTCCTTTTCCTCCTCCTCCTCCTCCTCCTCCTCCTCCTCCTCCTCCTCCTCCTTCTCCTCCTCCTCCTCCTCCTCCTCCTCCTCCGTCTCTCATCCTCTCCTCCTCCTCCTCCTCCTCCTCCTCCTCCTCTTCCTCCTCCTCCTCCTCCTCCTCCTCCTCCTCCTCCTCGGGCCGACACCTTGCCAGGGCCTCTGCGCCCGCCTCCCGCCTCTGCTGCGGCCGCCCTTCCGCGCGGGCAACCGAGGCGCAGGGAGGTCGTGTGGCCGCCGCGCCAGAGGATTCATTAAGCGAGGCGGGTGCGCAACGCAGGAGGAAGGAGAAGAAGGAGAGGAGCACGAGGAGGGCGGAGCGGGCAGCGCGGTTGCCAAAGTTGCTGCACCACGTGCTGGCGACCTCATTGCAGCCATCGCCCAACGGTAAAAAAAACACCGGCGAGCCCCAACCCAGTGCGTTCTGACAGCCCGCGGCCTACGGGCCCAGGAGAAGAGAGGAGGAGGAGGAAGGCAAGCAGGCAAGCGCGCAGGCAGGCAGGCAGGCGGACAAGCAGGCGCGGAGGGGCGGGGGAAGCGGCCGCGGGCTGAGGGCCACCAGCCCCGCCCTTAGGCGCGCGCTTGCTGGGGCGGGCGGGGGCGGGGGAGGGGGGCGACAAACTCGCACGTACGGGGGCCTACGTGGCGCCCTTTCGCCGGTCGGGCCAGCACGACTGCACCTGCGGGGCGGCGCGGCGCCAATCCTCAATGCCGATGGCCGCGGCCAGCCGCCTGCACCGCCGCCCCCTATTGGAACAGCCACGCCTCCGCGATTGTTTTGTCGCGAGAGCGCGGAGAATGGCTGTCGTTCGGGGGCGGGGCGGGCCGTGGCAAGTGTAGACCAGCGGTCGGTAGGTGCGCGCCAGAATATCGGCGCGCGCCGAATAGCACTCGACCTCGCGCCGGCACGCGGTGGCCGCGCGTCTGGGCCAGCCGCCACGGCGCCAGGCCCAAGTCGAGGGCCAGGAGGCCGTTGCAGATGGCAGCAGTCCGCGCGCCCGCTGGTCGGAGGCGCGTTCCTGGCACCACGCCCGGGGCCTCAAGCTCCGCGCCGGGGCCCCACTGGCGGCGGCGCGCACTCGGCGCGATACCTCATGGTGCCCCCAGGTCGATTCCGCGCGGCTGCAGCACAGGGCGCGCCACCGTGCCTGGTCGAGGATCGCTTGGCCGCAGAGACCGCGCGGGACCGGGCCCAACGACCCAGCGGCGCCGACGCGGAAACGCATGGCCTCGACGAACTCGACGCCGTCCATCACGCGGCAGTTGTGCTTCGAGAAGTTCCAGGGAGCCAGGCGTGGTCGGTGTTGGGGTGCTCGAAGTCGTCGAACCGCCGCAGCGCGGCGTTGTCCCTGGTGTCCGCGCGCCCCTTGGGGAGGTCGTGTCGCCCCTGCTTGTCGAGGTGCAGCTGCCCGCGCGCGGGGCGGAGTTGGGGTGATCGTCGCCTTCGTCCTGGTCGAGCAGAAGCAGGTTGCGGCCAATGCCTCGGTGGCGGCCGCGGCGTTCCTGCGGCGCGGCGGCGGGCGTTTCCGCGTGCCGGTCGAAAAGCAGCCCAGCGGCCCTCGATTGCCGCAGCGGCCTCCGATGGCGCGGTCACGAGGAGGGCGCCCGCTGCGGGCGGCAGGCAGAGGGCAAGGCGGGCTGCGGCGTCGTCTGTGCGCCTGTCGAAGTCGGCCATGATGACCCCCGCCTCACCCAGGCCCCTCTCCATGAGGTGCGCGGCCATCTCCTGCACACGCGGCCTCCAGCACGCGCGGCTGGCCAGAACGGCGGCAAGAGACACCTGCGAGGCGGTCCGCATGCCGAGGCCGCCTTGGCTCACGCCGAGCGCGCATTGGTCCCAGGCAGCGTCTGTGGGGTCGCCGCCCGCGTCGAGCTGCACGGCTTCGCGGAGGTCGTTGTCGAATTGCTGCAGGTGCTCGTCCTTCACCCTGTCCTCGTTAAGCCGTAGTTTGTAGGAGAGCTTGGACACGTCGGCGCAGAGTTTCGTGAGTACCAGCACCGTCGCGGCGTGCCCCACCTCTGGCAAGGCGAATTGCGTGTCGCGGGCCTTGGTCAGCGCGGCCTTGACCTGGTCGTCGACCGCGTCAGGGCTGCCGAAGGGTGCACCGAGTGCCAAAATGGGTCCTTCGGGGCCAGTAAATTCCACGTGGTCTTAACGTAGTCCGTGTCCCAGCCGTCGTAGCGCTGCCGCTCGCTGTCAGGGCAGAGGAGGCAGCAGGTGGTTTCCTCCTCCTCCTCCTCCTCGTCCTCCGTCTCCTCCTCCTCCTCCTCCTCCTCCTCCTCCTCCTCCTCCTCCTCCTGATGCTCCTCCTCCTCCTCCTCCTCCTCCTCCTCCTCCTCCTCCTCCTCCTCCACCCCTTCCCGCTTATCGCCAAATGACGTTATTGACTTGCCCCGGGGGCCTTGCGCGCGACGACGAGCTTCGTGAGGCCTTGGATCATCTCCGACGTGTCGCACTTGCCGGGGTCGAAACCTGCCTGCGCACAGTTGCACGGCACATGCCCCAGCATGAGATGGGTGGAGGGAGAAAAAAGAGAAGGGGACGAGGAGGAGGGTTTCTCTGCGGTTTCATCTTCCTCCTCCTCCTCCTCCTCCTCCTCCTCCTCATCCTCCTCCGTCTCCTCCTCCTCCTCCTCCTCCTCCTCCTCCTCTCCTCCTCCGCCTCCTCCTCCTCCTCCTCCTCCTCCTCCCTCCTCCTCCTCCTCCTCCTCTCCTCCTCCCCTCCTCCATCCTCCCCCTTCCTCCACCCCCTCCTTACTTTCTCCCCTCCCCCTTTACCCCCCCCCCAGTTTCCTCCCCGTCGCAGTTCCTCCATCCTCCCCCCCATTCCTCCCCCTTCCTCTCCCTTCTCCCCCATTCCTCCCCCTCCTCCCCTCTGCTCCCCCTCTCGATATTTTGCTTCCTCTGATTCTTCCCCCCACTTCCGCGCGTCGTGGAGATTCGGCCTCTGGGGGCAACTGCCGGGCCCCAGGACAGCGTACAAACTTGTTCCCCGTCGGCGGCGAGGGGGACGCAATCCTCACCAGCGTGAGGCTAAACAGCGGCACCGAAGGCGGATTACCCGGCTTGCAAGCGAAGGGGAAGGAAGGAACGAACGGCCGCGCGAGGGGGAGGAGAGGGCGGGGGGCACTCAGACGCGGAAGAGTTCGAGGTCGAGCGGGCCGGAGCGGCCAGCCAAGGCAAGACCGCGTAAAAACATTAAGGATGAAGAACCGCTCACCGTTCCCGGGGAAACGAAGGAGACCTCTGGAAGTCCATGCCTGACACAAGTCGGGAGTTCGGACGTCTTGACCCCTCCCGGTATGCCTCTTGGGATGGGTCACCCCTGGGTATTTGGCTGTTTCTTGCTGCCCCCCGTGGCATCTGATTGCCGAGTGTCCTTTTGGCACGTGGTGCCAAGGATGAGGAGGGCGCAGGTGGAATTAAGGAAGGAGGAGAGAAAAGCAGAGAGGGGGGGATTGAGAGAAGAGAGGGAAAAGAAATTCGAATTATCTGTGGGTCGGTGGATGCGGCCTCCGTCTCAATAAGCCGCAAAAAGTATGAAATTACATGACCGGACAAGCCGTCCCAAATCCATCACACCTGTCAGATATTCGCGAAGGAAGGCACATGGCAAATTGCACAACACCACTACAGTGCACTCGATGCACTCACTGACTTCACATATGCTGCGCAACCTTCTGCAGAAACCCACCATGCTGGCACGGAGCGCCAGGGGCCCAACAGCGCAGCATCGACGCGTGAGACGGCGTCTGCCACGGACTCCCAATGATTTCGGAGCGAAGGTCGACGCCTCGGCGCAGAACACGCGCTCGATGAAAAAAGCGTACGGCCCGCCCTGAACCGCCCCAAAACAGTGGATCCTGGCACTTTGTTTGATGATTGGCGCGGCCGGGCGTTTTGCAAAAGTCTCCTGGATCGGCGGCGCAACGCCAAATCATTACAAACAAGGTTCGGCATGATTCTGGTCGGGCCCACGGGACGCCAGGAGGGAAAATATGCAGATCTGCACGCGAAAGACAGGCACGCGAGAGCTGGCGCGGGAAGCTGTGGACTTGACTTGCCCGCGACCCCAGTACCGCGTGCATCGCCGCTGGGGCGCGCGCGCGGCTTCCGGTGGATGCGGTTTTTCGGTGCGTTCGCATTTCTTTGCCCCTGGAAGGGGCTCCCTGTGACAAGTAGTGGGCTTGTTTTCCGCCGCCACCACCATAAGTAGGAATCGGAAAGGGTCCTCCTCCTCTTCTTCTTCCTCCTCCTCATCCTCCACCTCCTTCCCCCTCCAACTTATAGTGGCGCCAACCAAGAATTGCTGGATCCGCCACGGCGGCCGGGCGCGGCGTAGGACGGCCCGGATCTCTACGCTCAGTTACCCTCAGCTAAACTCAACTTCCCCCATTCGCACTCATCGTTCCTGCTACACTCTGTTCACCTCAGTCACGCTAGGTTTTCCCTGTACGCTCGGATGTCTCCTTTCCCAAGCACTTCCCCACAGCGGCACCCATTCTTCTCATTTCCTTTCAGCAGCACGCAGTTTCCCTCGGTTGCACTCTGTCTGTCCCTAGCTACACCCGCTTCCCCTCTGAGGTCTGCAACCCGCCAACGCATCGTGCAAGAAGCTGCACGAGAATCTAGCGGAGCAGGGGCGGCCCGTTATCAACACCCCACCCCATTCCTCCCCTATTCCTCCTCCTCCTCCTTCCTTTCTCCCCCCCCGTCCTCCACCTCCTCCCCTTCCTCCTCCTCCTCCTCCTCCTCCTCCTCCTCTTCTTCTTTTGCTTACTACCCTTGTTATTATTATTCTATTATATCATTATCATGATTCGTCTTCTTATCATTCCTATCAGTCTTGTTATTATTATTAATGTGATTCACGTGTTCGTTGTTATTCCTCTTCGTCATTCTAAAACTCATACGATGATAAGTATTGCTAGTAGTCTTCTTAGTAGTGTTATAGTATTATATGGTGTTGGTATTGATATGGTTCGTAAGTATTCCCTTCTGCTTATTAATACGAATTGTATCATTTGGTATTTTTCGTAGTGATACCATCATGCTGAGTAGTATGTGTCGTATTGTTATTATTCTCCGTAGGCGGCGTAGTATTCCCATTACTAATGTCAATATGAGCCATCTTCTTCCCAATATCATTAGTAGACTTATGATTATTATCAATATTGTCCTTGTCATTCGCAATAGTCTTCTTATGGTTCGTCAGATTTTTCTCCGTCGTCTCCTCATCACCTAATTCATAGCAGTGTCAGTATTAGCATGATAAGTATGATCCTTAACATTACGTTTATTGGTATATGTTTCTTATTATCCGTATTGTTATGTGTATCACGAGTGTTACTAACATGCTTAATTGTTATTAGACGATTGCTTATTGATTATCTTATGTATTCTTCACAAGATTACAAATACTATGAATATTATTACTATCATTTCTATGATTAACGTTATTATGATTCGTTTCATCCTTCTTATTCGCATTCATACCGCTACTGATATATAAAGTAATATTCGTAGCATTCATTTTCTTCTTGTCCTCATTATGTTTTATTATTATTCGTAATACAACCATTATCGTTTTATTCGTCCGAATACTTTTCTTGGTCTTAGTATGATATTGATATGTTTCGTCTTCTTACTGTGATTCTGTTTCCTCTGATTATCATTATCCATATTCTTCTTATTCATAGCATTATTGGTATTATCATAAGGTTTCTTCTTATTATTATTATTTATCCTCCTCCTCCCCCTCCTCCTTTTCCTCCTGAGCCTCACGGGGAGGAGGAGCACGGCGAGGCCCGGTGGCTTCTCTCCCCCCACCGAACCTGGCCCAGGCGCACGAGGACCTCGCTGGGGCACAGCCCGACCCCCGCCGCGTTGACGGTGACGTGCTGCAGGGCCCACAGCGACGCGAGGACCGGGCCGTCCCTGCCGCACAAGGGAGCATTAGGGCCACACATGCCTGCGTCCTCTTGCGCCATCGGAAAAAATCATGCAAAAGAAGCACAAGGAAGAACCAATCACACACACACACAACGAACAACGCTGCAACAACAACAACCACAACCACAACCACAACAACAACCACAATCAAAACCACAACAACGACAACAACAGCATCAATTACAACAAAAACGATACGCGATGCTAACTCCGCGCTAATCGACTTAATTCGGCGCTTTCTTATCGGCTATCAGTCGCTAGCGAACTCTGAGATAGCAGAAACAGTAGGAGAAACAGGAGCAATAGTAGTAGTAGTAGTAGTAGTAGTAGTAGTAGTAGTAGTAGTAGTAGTAGTAGTAGTAGTGGTAGCACTAGTAGTAGTAATCGTCGTAGTAGTAGTAGTAGTAGTAGTAGTAGTAGTAGTACGACTACTACTACTACTACTCCTACTAGTAGAAGTAGTTGTAGTAGTAGTGTAGTAGTAGTAGTAGTAGTAGTAGTAGTAGTGTAGTAGTAGTAGTAGTAGTAGTAGTAGTAGTAGTAGTAGTAGTAGTAGTAGTAGTCAGTGATAGTAGCAGCGCTGGTGTTAACACTAGTACAAAGACCAGTAGTACTAGTAGAGTACAGGTACTAGTAGTAGTAGTAGTAGTAGTAGTAGTAGTAGTAGTAGTAGTAGTAGTAGTAGTAGTAGTAGTAGTAGTAGTAGTAGTAGTAGTAGTAGTAGTAGTAGTAGTAGTAGTAGTAGTAGTAGTAGTAGTAGTAGTAGTAGTAGTAGTAGTAGTAGTAGTAGTAGTAGTAGTAGTACAGTAGTAGTAGTAGTAGTAGTAGTAGTAGTAGTAGTAGTAGTAGTAGTAGTAGTAGTAGTAGTAGTAGTAGTAGTAGTAGTAGTAGTAGTAGTAGTAGTAGTAGTAGTAGTAGTAGTAGTAGTAGTAGTAGTAGTAGTAGTAGTAGTAGTAGTAGTAGTAGTAGTAGTAGTAGTAGTAGTAGTAGTAGTAGTAGTAGTAGTAGTAGTAGTAGTAGTAGTAGTAGTAGTAGTAGTAGTAGTAGTAGTAGTAGTAGTAGTAGTAGTAGTAGTAGTAGTAGTAGTAGTGGTAGTAGTAGTAGTAGTCGTAGTAGCGGTAGCAGTAGCAGTAGTAGTAGTAGTAATAGTAGTAGTAGTAGGAGGAGTAGTAGTAGTAGTAGTAGTAAAAGTAGTGGTGATGATGATAGTAGTAATAATAAGAATATCAATACTCGTCGGAATAATCAAAATCATAATGAGGAGAGGAGGAGGTGGCGCTAGAACCCGAGGGCTGGGTCCAAAACAGCCCCAAGGGGGACGCTTGCATGGCAGGGCCCCGAACACGGTGTTCATGGGGCCAGCGACAAGCCCAACAGTGAGGTCGAAAGGGAGGGAGCGCCCTCCTACTCACCTGAAGGCGGGCTCCAAGCTGGAACCCGAACGCTGGGTCCAGAACAGCCCCAAGGGGGCGCCTTGCAAGGCAGGGGTCCCGAGCACGGGGCCCAGGGAGCAAACGAGGAGCCCGCAAGGGAGGTCCAAAGTGAGGGCCCTCTTACTCACCTGAAGGGATGGGCTGGGAAACGCATGCGGACCATGCCACTGGGGCCTTCGGTGGAATTCTCTATAAGGCCACGATCCTCGTGCGGGATGCGCCGAATTGGGTTGGGGGGCGCACGCGGACCCTGCCATTGGGGACAACAGCAACAACAACAACAACAATAATCATTTTAAGACTGTTCGCCCTTATCAGCTCGAGTGTCCAATAACGCGCATGTCCCAAACCCTCGATATCCGCCCTCTTCGTTTTCGACCGAACCCCTTTCTCGGGGGTATACATTTTTTCCATGCAGGCCGGGCCCTGGCAAGCGGCGGGGCGGCCGCAGACCGTCGGCCTGGCCAGCGGCAGCGCTAATCGGCGGGGCGGCCGCGGACCGTCGACCCGACCCCAAGAGGGACGGACAGGGGACCGACCACGACGACGACGACGACGACAACGACAACGACGACGACGTCGACAACGACGACGACGACGACGACGACGACGACGACGACGGCGACGAGCGAAAGCGAGAGAAAACGACAGCAGGGCCACAAGGACACGAAGTAGGTCACGAAGAGTGACAGCGGGGACACGAAAGGAATGCGTATGGGGGCACGAAGAGCGCGAACGAGAGGGGGCCACGAAGGGCAGATAATGCGGTGCCACAGAAGGCAACGATGGGGCCACTGAGGGTAGCAATTGGGCCACGTAGGACAGCGAGGGGGCCACAAACGGCGACAGCGGGGCCACGAAGGGCATGCACATGGAGCCACAACGGGCGCGAACGAGCAGGGGCCACGAAGGGCATACGTATACTGGGCCGCGGGGGGCAAGGACGGGGCCACTGAAGGCAGCAACGGGGCCACGAAGGGCAGCGAGGGGGCCACGAAGGGCGACAGCGGGGTCACGAAGGGCATGCATATGGGGCCACCAAGGGCGCGAACGACCGGGGGCCACGAAGGACATACATATATGGGGCCACGAAAGGTAGCGAGTGGGCCATGAAGCGATGCAACGGGGCCACGAAGGGCAGCGACAGGGCCACCAAAGGCAGCGAAGGGGCCACGAAGGGCTGCAACGGGGCCACGAAACAAAGCGAGGGGGCCACGAAGGGCTGCAACGGGGCCACGAAGGGCATCGAGGAGGCCACGAGGGGCTGCAACGGGGCCACGAAGGGCAGCGATGGGGGCCACGAAGGGCTGCAACGGTTGCGCCATGGTTTGCGCCATGGTTTGACCAGCCACTCCAACACAAGTCAACAATAAGTTTCGCCATGGGTCGCGCCATAAACAGCGCCACGCACCACCCTCTTGAAAGAACAGATCGTGGATACCCCCACGAGGGGGCGCGCAGCTGCGAACTGGTGTCAGAAACAAATTTCGTGGAACCCTGAGAAAAAAAGGGGAGGATAGCGAGAACTACATACGCGTCGAAAGGAGCGGGGGGGCGCGGGGCGGAGTGGGACGGAGTGAACAAGAGTAGGGCCTCAGGAGGAGGAGCGGCGGGGGGGGCGCGGAGGAGCGGGGGGCGCACGGAGGAATCAGGAGGAGGGGCTGGGAACAATTTGAGAGGAATGCGGAATGCGAGTGGGAAAGGGTGGGGATTGTTGGGGCGGGATGGGGCGGCCTGGGGAGGAGCGGGCGGAATGCGAAAAACTGAGGAATAACAAAATGGTACACGAACGAAATGACAATGATGATAAAGGGAAAGAGTAGAAAAGACTTGGAATGAACGTTGAAAAGTGGGGGATGGTGGGCACGAGCGGAGACTGGTGCGGGAACAAGGCGCGGGGGGATTGGACGGCACCCGAAAGCCTCCCATGACCTCTGGGGGGCCTCGGAACGGCCCCGACGACCACCGAACAATTCCAGAGGCCCCGAAAACCCGCGGGAACGCCTGGGGGCCTCGTCGAGGCAGGCCTTCATTCGAAGCCTGCAGAAGAACCTGGGCGAACGGAACACGCGCCTGAAAGTCCGACAAACCGGGCCCCGGCAAGCGGCGAACCGTCGGCCTGGCCAGTGGCAACGCTGGCGATGCACACACCGACCCGCGGCAACCCGACCCCACGATGGACAGACATCGGGCTCACCACGACGACGACGACCACGACGAGAGGAGGGAGGAGGAGGAAGAGGAGGAGGAGGGAGGAGGAGGAGGAGGAGGAGGAGGAGGAGGAGGAGGAGGAGGACGAGGAGGAGGAGGAGGGAGGGAGGGAGGGAGGGAAGGAGGGAAGGAGGGAGGAAGGGAAGAAGGAGAGGGAGGAAGGTGGGGACTGAAGGGCCGACAGGCTGGCCCTCGGCAGGCGGCGAGGCAATCGCACGGATTTTATCGGCCTGGCTGGCTGAAGGGTCGGAATGCCGGGTTCCCGGGCGGGCCCCAAGGGGGGCGGCCACGGACGACGACGACGACGACGACGACGATAAGGGGAGGGAGGGAGGGAGAGGGAGGAGGGAGCAGGGCGACAGCGGGGCTACGAAGGGCACGCTTATGGGGCCACGACGGGCGACTGCGAGCGGGGGCCACGAAGGGCATATCATGCGGGGCCACAATGGGCAGCGACGGCGCCACTGAGGGCAGCAACGGGGCCACGAAGGACAGCGAGCGAAGGCGACCGCGGAACCAGTACGGGCAGCGAGGGGCATCGAAGGCGGGCGAAGGGCAGCGAGCGGCGACTGCAGTCCCTAACGGACTGGTCGGGCGGGCAGGCCCTGACGGGCGGGTCGAGCGGGCGGGTCGTTGAAGCGTAAATTCTGCCTGAACCGCCAGGCAATATGTAGCGGGAGCGCGATTCCTGAGTGTCGGGTAGCAGCATCTGAATAAATTGTAAGAAAATATCAAGCGGGAGCCGCGATTCGATGGTAAGTTGCGAAGAAATCCCAAGCAAGAGCGCGATTCTTCAATAAATTGTGACGAAGTATCAAGCGGGAGCCGCGATCGGGTGGTAAATAGCAAGGAAGTCCCAAGCGACAGCGCGATTTTTCAATACATTGTGAGGAAGTCTCAGGCGGGAGCCGTTGTTGTTGTTGTTGTTGTAAACCGGGAGCCAACAACGCAGTTTGACCCTCAAGATTTTCCCTGATAAAGAGACAGGGTGCGAGCCCTGGGAAGGGCACTTCAATCGAAAAAACATTGTGCACCAGACGGGCGGGATCAACAATAATGAATCTTCAGAAATGAAAACAACAACAACAACAACAACAACAACAACAACAACAACAACAACAACAACAACAATCATTTTGAGACTGTTCGCCCCTTACCTGCTCGAGTGTCGAATAACGCGAATTTCCCAAACCCTCGATGCCCGCCCTTTTCGTCTTCGATCAAACCCCTTTTGGGGGGTCTACCTTTCTTCCCTGCAGGCCGGGCCCCGGCAAGCGGCGGGGCGGCCGCGGACCGTCAGCCTGGTCAGCGGCAGCGCTGATCGGCGGGGCGGCCACGGACCGTCAACCCGACCCCAAGAGGGACGGACAGGGGACCGACCACGACGACGACGACGACGACGACGACGACGACGACGTCGACGACGACGGCAACGACGGCGACGGCGACGACGACGACGAGCGAAAGCGAGAGCGAGAGAGAACGACAGCAGAGCCACGAAGGACACGAAGTAGGCCACGAAGGGCGACAGCGGGGACACGAAGGGAATGCGTATGGGGCCACGAAGAGCGCGAACGAGCGTGGGCCACGAAGGGCAGATAATGCGGGGCCACAGAAGGCAACGATGGGGCCACTGAGGGTAGCACCTGGGCCACGAAGGGCATACATATATGGGGCCACGAAACAAAGCGAGGGGGGCACGAAGGGCTGCAACGGGCCACGAAGGGCAGCGAGGGGGCCATGAAGGGCTGCAACGGGGCCACGAAGGGCTGCAACGGGGCCACGAAGGGCAGCGAGGGGGCCACGAAGGGCTGCAACGGGGCCACGAAACAAAGCGAGGGGGCCACGAAGGGCTGCAACGGGGCCACGAAGGGCAACGAGGAGGCCACGAGGGGCTGCAACGGGGCCACGAAACAAAGCGAGGGGGCCACGAAGGGCTGCAACGGGGCCACGAAACAAAGCGAGGGGGCCACGAAGGGCTGCAACGGGGCCACGAAGGGCAGCGAGATCCCGATTCCTAGGTAATCTGTGAAGGAGTCCTAAGCGTGAGCGCGACTCCTGGGTGCCTGGGTGTCGGGAGCGCGGCGATGGAGTAAATTGCAAGAAATTCCAACGCAAGGGCGCTATTCTTCAGTAAATTGCAAGCAAGTCTCCAGCGAGAGCGCGACTCCAGAGCGCACGCAGGAGGAGCGATTCCTGCATAAATCGTGAGGAAGTCCCAAGCGAGAGCGCGATTCTTGAATAAAATGCGAGGAAGTCTCGGGCGAGAGCGGGGGTCCTGGCTAAATTGTGAGGAAGTCTCAGGCGGGAGCCATTGTTGTTGTAACCCAGGGGCCAGGGGGCCAGTTTGAGCAGGAAGACTTTCCTCGACAATAAACAAAGTGCGAGCCCCGGGGGGGGGGCACTTCAATTGAAAAAAATCAATGTGCAACGGTGGGGGGGATCAACAATCATTATTCTTTAAGAATGAGTGTTCAACAACAACAACCACAACCACAACCACAACCACGACCACAACCACAACCGCAACCGCAACCAGAACCACAACCACAACCACAACCACAACAACAATAACAACAACCACAACAACACCAACACCAACACCAGCACCAACACCAACACCACCACCAACAACATGGTGATGTCGATTGCAGCATCAAGAGATCTTGGATGCCATGGGTGCCCGCAGCAAGTTCGTCACGACGACCTTGGCGTTGGTTGCCGACACCGCGTACATCGTTCGCCCGTGCACGATCGGGGGCTTCTCGGTAGCCAGGACGCTCCGGAATGGCCGATTCTGGGCCACTGGCGGCGCTCAACCTGGAACGCCCGCGCTGGGGTCGCAGCCGCGCCGACACGACACGAACCCACCGCGCCCTCGCTGCGCTTCAGCCTCCCCCCTTCCCCCTCGGGCCCCGTCGGGCCCCCGGCGCCCCTCGCGCTGGCCTGCTGTCGTTCACCATGAAGTCGTGCACCAGCAGCCGGCCCCCTGGCCTCAGCGCCCTCCAGGCGTTGGCGTACCTCTGCCACGCGGGGGCGACGGCAACAACGAAGGGGCCCCCGGACACACAAATGAATAACAGGATCCCCCATATTTTCTAACTTCTTCTGGGTTTCTGTCTTCCCCCCACTTCCCATATTTTCCCACATTGCCTGGGGAATCGACGATTAATTGTGTCTGTGTGTTCTTTTCCCTCCTGAAACACGGCCGGCGGCGCTGGCGGCGAGGACGGGGGGGGGGGGACGGGGAGGCAGGGGAGGAGGGGGCGAAGGGCAGGGGCAAAGGGCAGAACGGGCTGGAGGAGCAGAACGGCTGGAGGGGGGGGACAAGAGGAGGAGGAGGAGGAGGAGGAGGAGGAGGAGGAGGAGGAGGCAGGCTCAAGACTCGAGACGTGGCGCGGCCCACGACTGGGGGACAGGCCTCAGAAAGAGCGACGACCTCGACGAGGCGGCGACGACGGGCGACGACGCCGGCCGCAGCCAAGCCGCGGCGGCGACGAGCCGACAGCGGCAACGGCACAGAGGCGGGCGGGCGGCGGCCCAGTGGGCCGGCGGGCAGGCCTCGCACTGTCCCTGCCCGTGTCCTTGCGCCCGCCGCGGGAATCAGCGCGCCCCCCAGGATCCCCGGGTGCGTCGGACGCGGCCACCGGTCGGCCCCCCTGCGGTTTTGGGAGTCCTCAGGAGCGCGCCGCAGAGGCAAACGAAGCTCCCGCTGCCCCCTCGTCGACCATCGATGGTCGCTGGACGATGCTCCCTGGTCTTGCCCCTGAGAACTGTGGGAGGCCTGGAAATTGGCACCAACACCAACACAGGGGGTTGCCTCCACAGGGGGAAGATGATCCTCGATTTCGGTGTTGGTGGTATAATTTCGGTCACCTTGGAAGCCAGAATATTACCACCATCACCGAGATCGGGATCCTGTTCCCTCGGTGGAGGAACGCCGCCGATCTTGGTGTTGGTGTCAACCTCTAGGCCTGCGAAATTGGTCCTGGGCGCAGGAAGAGCGACCTCGGGAGAGGGGGGGCCCCTCCAGCCAGCCACGGGCCAAGGCCTGCCGGCCTCGGGTCTCTGAGGACGAGCGGGGCGCCGCCGCCCCTCGCGGCTGCCGCCCCTCCGCGGCGGCGGCGCCGCGCCCGCGGAGCAGGTCCTCTGCCCAGAGTGAAGGGGCCCTGGGATACACAAATAAATACACACAAATAAGAGTATTCCCCATACTTTCCCGTATTTTCTGGGTTTTTGTCTTCCCCCCACTTCCCATACTTTCCCATGTTTTCTGGAGTCGCCGATTAATTGTGTCAGTGTGTTTCTTTCCCTCCTGACAGAGGTCGGCGCGAGGGGAGGACTCGGCCACGGCCGTGGACACCAGGAGCAGCGGTGCGGGCCGCCTGGCGCTGGAGGGGGCTCCGCGCAGGCAGCAGCGGCACGTCGGAGACGGACGAGAAGTGCACTTGTGAAGGGCTGCCCTGATCATGCGCTTCCGATGTCCGTAGTGGCTCCCCAGACTGCTATGCTTGCACTTGGGGGTTCTCACAGGGCAGGTTTTAATACATAGGATTGTTTTTAGATATAGGACTTTGACTGCATGATTAGTTTATGAATAAATTGATGCATGAACTCATCGCTGTTTTTGATACTAAATCCCTGCATCTTTTAATGCATGATCCGCACGCGGAGCATGCATTACAAACGGCACTGTAGTGGCTCCCCAGACTGCTACTCCAGATTTCGTAATAAAGGGAGGGGGGTCTCATTTCGGGGGGGGGTCTCTTCCAGGCTATCTTAAGAAGGCCTGGGGGGGTCTGGGGACGATGTTTTGGAGGGTTCTCCCACGGGGGGGGAGGTCTGAGATGGCTTGTCTTGGAGGGTCCAGACCCCTTCCCTCTTATCACGAAACCTGGAGTATGCTTGCGCTTGGGGGCTCCTACTCCTTCTCCAGGGAGCTGGACTCCGCCGCCGGGTCCGCCGTCGCCGGCCCGTCGCCGGCCGTCGTCTGGGCTCCGTGGTGAGGACCGCCGCTCTGTGGTCGCCGTCGCCGCCCCGTCGCCGCCCCGTCGCCACAGCCCCGTCGCCACAGCCCCGAAGGATTGCAAAAAAGCCCTGGATTGCAAAAAAAAAAAAAACCTTCCTTCGGGTTTTTTTTTGCAATCCTGGGTTTTTTGCAATCCTGGGTTTGTTTGTTGCAATCCTTTTGGGTTTTTCTTTGCAATCATTCGGGTTTTTTTGCACCCCCCCCCCCATCGCTTTGCATTGCTTTGCATTGCTCTGCATTGCTCTGCATCGCTTTGCTTTGCACTGCCCTGTGTTGCCTGAAAGCGACTTGCGCTGCTCTGAAGTCTGCACTGCTCTGCGCTGCTCTGCAATGCACTGCGTTGCTCTGCATATGTTTGCATCTCTTTGCATTCCGTTGCATTGCGCTGCATTGCTTTACGTTGCGTTGCACTGTTGTGCATTGCGTTACAGTGTTTGCATTCCTTTGAGCTGCTCTGCATTGCTTTGCAATGTTTTGCATAGCTCTACATTGCTCTGCGTTGTTATGCCTCGCATTACATTGCGTTGCAATGATTCGCATTGCGTTGAATTGCTTCGCATTGAGGTGCACTGCTTGGCGTTGCGTTGCGTTGCTCTGTATTGTTCTGCATTGCCTTACCTTGGTTTGCGCTGCTATGCAATGCTTCGCATTGCTCTGAATTACGTTGCTTGCATGGCTTTGAGTTGCTTTGCGTTGCTTTGCATCGCATCGCATTATGTTGATTTGCATTGCATTGAGTTGAGTTGCATGGCTCTGCATTGCTTTGCTTTGCTTTGCTTTGCTTTGCACTACATTGCTTTGCATTGGTTTGCAGTGCGCTGCACTGTTCTTTATTGCTTTGCATTGCCTTGCACTGAGTTGCATTGCTTTGCGCTGCATTGCTTCGCATGGCATTGTTATGTTTGCTTGTCCTTGGCTTCGCATTGCCTTACATTGCCGTGCAGTGTTTTGCGTTGTTTTGCACCACATTGGTTGCGCCACATGGGTTGCACCACCTAGACTGCACCGCCTTGGTTTAACCACCCAGACTGCACCGCACAGATTGACAGAAATCACTGCCTGGGGTCCACGCTGACTCGCACCTTGTCATTGCAATCATTCCTATTCTCATGTGTCGTCATCTTGAAGCGGAGCAGCGGCTGCGGCCGCGACACGGTCAGCTGGAGGCGTTCCCCCAACAGGCCCTTGGTCAGCTTGCAAGCATAAAACATCGATATTGTGATTTGCCATGTGTGTTGTTATCCCCACCCATTTCTCTACTTTCAACCCTTTGACATTCCATGTTGCAACCTTCAGCGTTGAACTCGGTATCTCAGAGATGCTGTTGTCCCCCGAGGGTGAAACTATACTTGTGCGTCTTTGGCATCGTCACTGCGCGTGCTTACCTTTATCCTCAGGGCCTCCATCGAAGGCCCGCGAGGTACAGCAGCGCCACCTCGCCCATAGGCCTGGTCGCGCAGCAACTGGGCAGGAGCAGACCCCGAGAGCGTCGGGCAGCACCCGCGGCGACGTTCGGCGTCAGAGCCGCGCGAGCGAGCCCTCGCGGCGCGCGGCAGTGCGCACGGGCCGCAGTGCGACGAGGGCGCGCGACACGCCAGGGTGGCACCCTGTCCACCATTGCCGCGCTTGCGGGAGGAGGAGGAGGAGGAGGAGGAGGAGGAGGAGGAGGAGGAGGAGGAGGAGGAGGAGGAGGAGGAAGAGGAAGACAAGGAGGAGGAGGAGGAGGAGGAGGAGGAGGAGGAGAAGGAGGCGGAGGAGGAGCCAGGGGGGCGCGACGAGGAGAAGAAGGAGGAAAAGGAGGAGGAGGAGGAGCTGGAGTAAGGGGGCACTCGGAGTGAGGCAAGGAGGGAGGGCCGGGGAGGGGGGATGGAGGAAGGGAGGGAGGGAGGGCGAGGAAGAGGAGGAGGACGAGGAGGAGATGGAGAAGGGCAGGAAGGAAATGGGGAGGTGGCGCGTGCACCATCCCAGGGCACAGGCCGACGATCACAGGCTCCGGTACAGAGCCGGAGAGGTAGGACATGATCACGGCGTCATACGCTCCTCGGGGGACGCCGGGTATACCCACGATCGGTGCGTGCGCCCTCCTGGCGTGGCCACCGAGGCACACCCACGTGCCGGTCCGGGGCCCAGGATGGGCCCAGCAAGGATCGGTGTCCCAGGCGCCCGGGGTCGTGGCTCTTGGCACGGTGTGGGCCCTCGGGGGTGTCGGCCAGCTCCCCGGGAGGCTGCTTTTGCACCCCGGAGCGGCTCCCGTGGACGGCCCCAGGGCCCACCCAGCAGGGCACCCCCGGAGGCCAGCAGGAATGGCGAAGCCCTGCTGCCGTGATGCTCTCAGGGCGCGAGGGGGCTCTGGACTCGGCGTCCGGAGCACGAGCTCTGGACCTGTTCCGGGGGGTGCGTGCTGGTCAGAACCCCACCAGCCCGAGCGACTCCAAGCCCGAACACTTGCCGAAGCCACGACGCTCCGTCCGCCACTGGCCAGCTTGGGCTCGTGGCGTCCAGCTCCACGAACCTGGAGGATTGACAGAAACCCTTTGGAGGAGGAGGAGGAGGAGGAGGAGGAGGAGGAGGAGGAGGAGGAGGAAGAGGAGGGGGAGGGGGTGAAGGAGGAGGAGGAGGAGGAGGAGGAGGAGGAGGAGGAGGAGGAGGAGGAGGGAGGAGTGAACAACGCCCTTTAGCGAAAACTGCTTGGGCACTCCACGGGTGCGCGCGGCACCGCACTCCAAGTGCACCCTGGCGGAACCACTGGCCGACGTCCAACAATTTTTGCGGCTAGGCAGAAGGTGACTGCGCTGGCGATAAAGGCGTAAACGGGGATTCCGATGGAGCGAATTGTGCCACCATGCAGGAGGACGAGGGAGGAGAGACGCGACCGACGTCCAAGAACAACCAAGTGTACCCGGCGAAACGCACACCGATCAACGAAACTGGCTGGGGGCTGCGCCGGCAAGCTCGAAAGCCACTGTCGAGTGAACCCGCGCAGATTTCCTGTCGACTTGACCTCAATGCCCGAGGGGAGGAGGAGGAGGAGGAGGAGGAGGAGGAGGAGGAGGAGGAGGAGGAGGAGGAGCAGAGCGCAAAGGTTTGTAGGAGGGAAAGGGGTCCTGGTGAAAACGGGTCCTGGACTCAGAGCCTGCCCCAGGACCGACTTCTCATCCCGAGTCGTTCCTGACGGCCCGAAAACTGTGAAAAACAGGAAGGTAAAAACATCATGACCCGATTGGCTCAGGATACCAGGAATTCTCGAGAGTCTAGCGGCCCTGGTTTCTGGAACCCGCGCTGATTTCCTCGGTCGACTCGTCTGGAGGGGCGTTGTTCTTGAGCATCGCTTAACCGATCCATATCCCCACTGGCGTGGTCTGGCCCCAACAGGCCGATTGACACCCCTAGATATGGGATACAAGATTTTCCCTTCGGGTTTCCAGGGGCATATCCCCAACTGGGGTGGTGGGATTGGGGAGACCAAAAGGTACCCAGACCGCTATTCCACGACCTCTCCCAGGGTGCGTTCTGACCAGGATCTCGAAGCGAATCAAGCGGTGGCGACGAGGGCCTCCCGGGAGGCCTAGAAAGGGTGAAAACGGGGTGAGGGTACCAGTATCGGTACCCTCTCCTCCTCTGAGGGATGGCGGAGATCGGGATGGGGAGTGACCGCGGCTGACACCCGCACCCCCCAACCCACTCCGAAGCACTCCCCAGGACCTCTGTTCTTGGGACCCCCTTCGACAATGTCGCGCCCAGAACCGACCCACGCCACCCACCGCGCCTGACATCCGCACCCCCCCCAAACCCCTCCAGAGCACTCCTCGGGACCTCTGCTCTTGAGACCCCCCCACTCGATGGGGATCGGTCGAACGATACTCTTTGTCTGGGAGGGCTGTTCGGCCAACGCCCGAGCACCGCACGCGGCGCCGCACGTCCTCTGGCTGCCCCGCGCGGATGGCCTCGCCGACGCAGCAGACCTCATGATGGGCCCATTTTCCACCACAACTACCACATCTAGGAGAGGGAGGAGGAGGAGGAGGAGGAGGAGGAGGAGGAGGAGGAGGAGGAGGAGGAGGAGGAGGAGGGAGGAGGAGGAGGAGGACCTCCTCATCCTCCCTTCTCCCCCGTCCTACACATGGCAGTGGTGGTGGAAAACGAGCCCGCCACCTCCGGCAGCTCGAGCACCGTGGCCTGCAGCGCGGGCGCCGCGGCGGCGAAGGCGTAGGAGAAGGCGCCGGAGCCTGCGCGAGCAGGGGCGGGGTGGGCCGACGACGCGCTCCCATCGGGAGGCGCGGAGGCGCCCTCGACTCTCGGAACTCCCAGTCGTATCTAGGGGAACGAACAATGACATACTCCAGATTTCGTAATACAAGGAGGGGGGTCTCATTTCGGGGGGGGTCTCTTCCAGGCTATCTTGGAGGGCCTGGGGGGAGTCTGGGGACGATGTTTTGGAGGGTTCTCCCACGGGGGGAGGTCTGAAAAGGCTCGTCTTGGAGGGTCCAGACCCCCTCCCTTTTATTACGAAATCTGGAGTAAACATAAAAACTCGGAGGTCCGCGCGGACTTCTCGGATCGGCGCTGGAGCCCCCTGGCGGCGCCCCCGGCGCCGCCCCTGGCCGCGCTCCACGCGGCAGGGAAGGGGCTCCAGCGCCGATCCGAGAAATCCGCGCAGACCGCTGAGCTGATATGTTTATGTCATTGTTTGTTTCCCTTGTATCCCACCAGTGTTTGAATTGCCTTCCCGATCGCCGAACATGGTGCTGAGAAGCCCACTTGAAACCGATGCGTGCCCAAGACCCGCTTCCCGCGACAATGCGTGATTTGAGTGAAGAAGCCGAACGATCTCACACCGTCCCTGGGCGCGCTGCTGAAGCGGGATTGCGCGGCGCGGACTCTGCATGTTTGTTCTTTGTTGCTGTTTTCGTCGTCCTCGCCCGCGACCAGCCCGCGACCCGCCCACGACCCGCCCGCGACCCACCCGCGACTCACCCGAGACCCACCCGCGACCCACCAACGTTGCTTTAACGAAGGAAATCTGCGCCTGCGGCGGCCTCGTTGTGTCGTTTCGATATTATACGGCGCCTGCGGCGGGCTTCTTCAGAGCCTCGCAGACTGCCGACGACCCCGCCGCCCCCTCACTCTTATGCGCAACTGCGGAAGCCATGTAGTGTCGCCCACGCACTAAATCAGCCACTGCCCCTTGCCGCCGTTCCCCTTCTCCCCCTTGGGCTCGAGCTGCTCAATTCTCAGGGTCAATACCAGGGAGCATCGTCCAGCGACCATCGATGGTCGACGATCCAGCGAAAGCTTCGCTTGCCTTTGCGGCGCGCTTCGGACAACTCCCAAAGCCGCAGGGGGGCCGACCGATGGCCGCGTCCGACGCACCCGAGGATCCTGGGGGGCGCACTGCCTCTCCAAGCGTTATGTTGCTCCCATCTTACTTACTCCAGATTTCGTAATAAAGGGAGGGGGGTCTTATTTCGGGGGGGGGTCTCTTCCAGGCTATCTTGGAGGGCCTGGGGGGGGTCTGGGGACGATGTTTTGGAGGGTTCTCCCACGGGGGAGGTCTGAAATGGCATGTCTTGGAGGGTCCAGACCCCCTCCCTTTTATTACGAAATCTGGAGCAAGGACCACATCCCAGAGATAATTTCGAGCACATCGAAAAGTGTCACAAAAAGAGTGCCGAGGCAGTGTCGAAGCAGTGCAGGGCGAGTGTTTGCCGGGGCCCGACACGTGGAAGCCCTTGCATCTCGGTGCTCTTTTGGGCGCTCGAAGTTCTTCCTGGTGGTCAAGGCCAAAGTAGGTGGGAGCATCAAAATCCAAGCGGTGGGTGTGGACGCGTGCTTGCACGGCGGACGAGGAACGGTGTGAAGTCCACGTGGCCGCCGGCGGGGACGCCTGCCCCAGGGCGGCTGGGAAGCCTGTGCCCAGACGTGCCGCCATGGGGGCCTGAACCAAAGGGGCCCTGGGACACACAGATAAATACACACATAACAGGGTTCCCCTATATTTTTCCATCTGTTCTGGGTTTTTGTGTTCCCTCCCACTTCCCATAGTTTCCCATCTTTTCCTGGGAATCGACGATTCATTGTGTCTGTGTGTTTTCTTCCCTCCCGATACACTTCCTAGCCGCCCACGGACAGACGTCCCCGACGGCGGAGACACGTATACTACACCGTTCGCTTCGTCCGCCGAGTTCTGGCGGCAGAGAGCCGCCCCCCACGTCCAGGAGGTCGCGTACCTCCGCCAGGTCGGCCATGCCCCTGATCAGGGACCTGGCCGTGGCCAGCGAGCCGTTGTGTTGGGCCCTCGTGTAGGTCTCGGCGACTGCTGGGTCCGAGAACCAGGACGCGTAGGTCAGAGCGCGGCCCGTCTTCATCACCTCGGGCAGCTGGCCCATCGTCGCGTAGAACTGCCTGCCGATCTGGTACATGAGGTAGTCCCCGTAGTACGCCTCCAGCGTCGGGGCAGAAGGGAGGGGGACGGTGATGAGGACGACGAGGACGAGGCTTACATCTATTGTGGCCCATGGGTGCCCCCGATGTAAGAACGATGTCAAACGAACAACATACGGGCAGCAACCTCTAGCATGGACGAGCCGCCGATGTGCGCGATCGCCTCAGGGGCGCACGACGAGGACGAGGATGTGGACCAGGATGAAGACGAGAACAAGGACGGAAATGCACATATTCCAAGAGCGTCGGCGCCGTAGAGAGCCACCCGTATGGCGGCGGTGACGACGACGACGACGACGACGACGACGACGACGACGACGACGACGACGACGTAGACGACGACGACGGCGACGGCGACGGCGACGGCAACGGCGACGGCGACGGCGACGGCAACGGCGACGGCGACGGCGACGGCGACGGCGACGGCAACGGCGGCGGCGGCGGCCGTGGCAACGACGATGGCGGCGCCTTCGAGGTCCGGACCATGTACCTCGCCGTGTTCGGCGACAGCGTGTAGAATCCGCCCGCCTGCGGGAGCGCCGAGGGAAAACAAAAAAAAACAAAAAAAAAAAAAAAAAAAAAAAAAAAAAAAAAGGCGGCGGCGGCCGCCGAGGTCGAGCGAGCCCCTCGGCCGCCCGACTCGCCCGACGCCCCGTGCCCCGCCGCTGTGCTCCGACGGCCATGCCACGACGGCCCCACCCGACGCCCCGATCTCTATAGGTACGGGGCCGTCGTGAGGACACAGGCATGGAGCTGTCAATTCGATGCCCGCCGGTTGGAGCCAGGCATCCTTGGTTGCGTGTGGCTTGAAGTTGATTCAGCTTCTTGGTAAGTCAGATTACAGGTGTGCGTGAGTCAATTAGACACTAGCTTTAAATAGCCGCGAATCTATCCATACCTTTCGTAAACCGGGTATAAGTCGCTATAGCCGATGAGCTGTTTAACAGATTAAAAGTTTACAAAACGCCAACTAAAACAGCTAGAAAATTGTAGCTCAAAGTGTCGCTAAAATAGCTGGCCAAATTAATTGAACGTAAGGCTTTACCCAAGCCGAGTTAAAGTTTAACATACCTTAACATACAGCAGCAAAAAAAAATGCTGAATTCCTATAGACCGGACCTAAATTGCTGAGAAACTTCAACATGCGCTATCATACTTTAACTTGGTTAAACACATGTACATGCCAGAACATGTCTGCACACATCGTGCGCTCGGTTGCCTAATGTACATGTAATAGAATGTTGCTGTTATGGGTTGTTGATGGTCAAGTGTTAGTGCCGTTGGCTTCGGGGGCGTTGCACATACATATATGTATACATATACGTATATATATATGATATATGATATATGATATATGAGATATGATATATAAAAGTGTGCAGTACAGTAAAACACAGTCTAAGACAAAGTACGATACTACAATGTATGTCAATACGATACAATAGCACTTGCCGTACACTTAACCCTTCCATGGGCCTCCAACAGGACCTTAAAACCACCCCCACGGCTGCTTGAAACCCTACTCACGGGACGTTAAAATGATCCCACCAGGGCCTTAACTCTGGGCCCCACGGGACCTGAAAATACCAGCCACGGGACCTTAAGATACCACCCTCGGGACCTTGCCCAGGACCTTAAACGCGAGCCCGACGGGGCTGTATTCCAGGCGAGCCTGAACCCAAATCGAAGCACCTTCGCCGGAGGCGGCCACTGAAAAGCCGGCTGGAGCCACTTACGGGCCGGCTGGGGGCGACTTGAGGGCCGACCGGGGCCGACTTAAGGGCCGGCAGGGGCCGACTTAAGGGCCGACCGGGGCCGACTTAAGGGCCCGCTGGGGCCGACTTCAGGGCCGGCTGGGGCCGACTTACGGGCCGGCCGGGGCCGGCTTAAGTGCCGGCTGGGGACGACTTACGGGCCGGCTGGGGCCGACTACAGGGCCGGCCCGCCGCTGCCAATGAGGCGATGAATGCAGCGTCTTCCCCATAGAAAACCAACGCGGTGACGCCCTCCGGGACCTTAACTCTCCGCGCCCCGGGACCATAAATTGCCAGCTCCAGGACCGGGGCCGTAAGTCCCCAGCTCCGGGACCTTAACTTCCCAGCTCCGGGACCTTGAGACCCGAGCTCTGGGACCTGAAGTCCCCAGCTCCGGGACCTTGAGTCCCCAGCTCTGGGACCTTAACTCCCCAGCTCCGGGACCTTAACTCTATAACTCCAGGACCTTAACTCCCCGGCTCGGGGGCCTTCTCCAAAGCCTCAAAGCTCCAGCTCGGGGACCTGAAATCCCGGCTCTGGGCGTCTCCGGGGAAGGCGAAGTCATCTCGGAACGTCACGGGGGAAATACGCAAGGCCCATTTGCTCAAAAGTCAAGGGCAGGGAGGCCTGAAGTCAAGGGCCAGGAGGCCTGAAATTAAGGGCCGGATGGTCTAAAATTACGGGCTGGATGGCCTAGAGTTCAAGGCCGAATGGTCTAGAACCAACTGCCGGCCGGCGCCAAATTAAAGGCTGGATGGCCTAAATTTAAAGGCCGGAAGGGCCGCGATGAGGGCTTGGAAGACCCCGGGAGCAGGACCACGCAGCACCCTACAAAATACATGCATGCAAACAAACATGTTTTGCTCGCGGTTTTGTTTGGTGCCGCGTGGCCGGAGCTATGTCGCAGCAAACACAAGCCATGTGTTTACGGATTGTTCTTCGCAGTTTGGTTGAACGCTGCTGGGTTCGGGTCGACGATCGGTTTCGCATGTGTTTTGCGGTAAGATATGTATTCGTGCTGGGTGGGTTGGTGTTTCTCGCGCTGGCGTCACCGGTGCTGGATGATAGATTGTGGTATTGATTGTATTGTCATGGTGCTGTGTGTTGGGTTGTGCCATGGTTGTTCTCGTATGTTGTCTTTATGGAACAATTATTTCATGCATTGATTGTCGTGGTGCGTATCTAGCGTTTCTGAATGGCTGTTGGTTTGTTGCGCGATACTTTTACGAATTGCCCTCGTTCACGAATTCGCATTAACCTGCGAATTACCAACTGTTTGGTCATGTACTCTTCAAATTTTTAGCGGCTGGGATTTGAAGCTAAACCAACTTAAAGATTGAAGCATCTGCTCGGAAGTTCGCGGGCCTGTAAGGGGCGACCCGGGGATCGCGCACCATAGCGGGGGGGCCTGGAGGGGGGAGAGAGAATAATGGTGCTGAGCAAGAGATGAGATGACGACGACGATGCTGGCATGAGAATATAGTCCGACGCTACGCGCGGCCATCGGATCGAACTGTCGATCGACCCGATCTGCAGCTCGCCCCCGCCAACGATCGCCGCGCGCTGCGCGCGGCTATCGGGGCGAGCCCCCCCCCCGCCACGTCGTCGCCCCTGTTGCGCGCGACCGCCAGGCTGAGCCGTAGCTCAATTCGGCCAGGCTCGAGCTGCAGCTGCTTCAGCTGCGTCAGCTGTTATTCGCGAACGTTCCCGCGCGATTGCCTAGGCCTCGCGCACCTCTCGCGCGCGCGATGAGCGAGCGCCCGGCGCCGGGCGAGCTGGCCCGCCGCGCGCAGCAGCGCGCGGCCAGGGGGGCGCAGGCGGCCGGGCGGGGCGAGGCGCGCGCGCGCGCGCCATCTCGACGCGGAGACCGCGGGACACATGTTTGGGCCCCCTGAAGCAACGAGCTGGCGCGGCAGCCGCGCGCGCATATCTCCCCCAATCAAGCCCCGCCCGTCGAGCTACGGCGCCGAGCCCGGCAGCGGGCGCAGGCGACGCAGATGCGAGGCCCCGCCGCGGCGGGGCGCGTCGGAACTAAGGAGATCCACCTCGAGAATCGCAGCGGCGCGCTGGCGGGCGTCGACGAGGTGCGCAAGCGCGGACATAGGATGCACGGGGACGCGGCCGATCCCAGTCGAGGCAGCGGGGGAGCGGCGGGGCTCGCCGCAGCAAGCGGGGGCGACGGAGACCATCGGGCACCCCTTGCCGCGGCGAGCGGCGGATGGAAGACCGGCTCCCAGACGCGCCGCGCCGCCGACGCGACTGCGATGGAGGCGCCGCCGCTCGGCCCAACGGCCCTCCAGAAGGGCCCCTCGGCGAGGACGCAGCTGGCCTGGCGGTCGGGGGGGGGGCGGCTGCCCCCACTCGCAGAGGATCGGGCGCTTGTTCGCCAGCGCGGGCAACCGCGCCAGCGCCTTCCCCAGGCGCGCGAAAGGCGGGCGCGGCGACCCCGGAGGAGCCCTCACTGAGGACGGCAGCACGCTGAGCTTGAAAAAGATGGTGGATCAACCAGGTTCCTGATCGGCCGTCACGAACGGCCTGTCACGGACGGTCATCGGCTACAAGGTGGAGATGCAGCTCCCAGGCCTCGTGGACCCCCGACCAGCCACGGCTTCACCGCCGCGCCACATTCCCACGTGCACGCATGTATAGGTCGCAAATCGCACGCGGCATTCGCGCAGTTAAACACAACGGCGCAGTTTGGCTGCAGCCCAGCCCAGTCGCAGCATCGCCGAACAGCCGTCGGCGCTTGCGTCGAGGGAGGCGAAAGACGGAGATCACAGCGATGATGGCCACGCAGAACGCGATCGACGCGGCAACCGCGGCGGGCGCGAAACCGAACTGGGGCAACATGATTCAGGCGCGCCAGGCGGATCAGCCAGACCGTCAAGAGCGGCCAGTGCATCTGCTGGCGCACGTCAGAGAACGCGGCGCGAACGGCGGCCTCCACGAGGACTTGGACGCTTACGCGGCGGCCGCGGCGCGGGAACTGCGGGGCTGCAGCCCGCGCCTCGATCGCGCTCGCCCACCCCCCTGCGCGCGCCCGCCCCGCCACCCCCCCAGCCCGCCCCCCGCCCGCCCCGCGCTTGAGATCACCCCGGGTCGCCGCTGCAGCCGCGATGAGCGATTGCTGGCGCGATCAGGACGATTGGCTCGCAGCTCGCGCAGAGCATCGCCACCCTCTGCAAGAAATCGAAGCCGATGGGGCCGCCGCGCACGCAACGCGCTTATCACTGCGCAGTTCATGAGCGCCGAGCAACCTGGCGGAAGGTGCATGTTAATTCGCTGTCGACGCCAATGTCGCTGCCGCTTGAGATTTCAAACGCAGCGCCCCATGCACCCGGCAAGGCGCGCTTGGGACGGCCGGGCGGGCCTCCGGCGAAAAAACGAAACGGATGAGATTCCGCGGGCCGAGAAACTCGCGGGGGCGGCGCGCGCGCTCGTCGACGAGGCCGACTTCGGCGAGGGCCCTATATAGGGCGACAAGACGACTGCGCTACACAAGCCGTCACAACGGGCTGAAGACCGCCGCGGAGGTCGTTCGGAACGATGCCCGCGGGCTCCACGCACCGCGCGCGCCCGCCGCGGGATCGCAAGCTGTTCGTTCATCGCTCGGGTCGCTCGACTGCGCGCGCGCGAAATGTCCGCGAGTGCCGCGGGGGGGGGGCTGCGAAAGCATCGACGACGCCGCCATGGGCTTCTTGCGGGGCGGTCAGCTGCAGCCGCCCGCGCCATCTGTCACTTGCGACGGCCGCAGCCAGGCCGCCATGGAGCGACATGGGAATTCACTTCGGAGCTGGACGGGAAAGCCCAGATGAAGCTGCCCGACCAGGCGGAAACTCGGCATCGGAGCTACTTCGCCACCGCCTGCCCCACCGTCGCCGGCGGCGCGGGGGGCGCCTTTCGAAGGCGGGCGCCGACGCCAGCCGCCCCCCAGACGATCGCCCTCTACGCGGACGAGATCGCCCCAGGCAACGCGCTCGCGCCGACCGCGCACAGGAAGCCGGGGCTGGCACTGGAGCACCCTCGAGCTCGGCCCAGCAAGCTCTGAAGCGAGGATGCGCATCGGGGGCGCAACTCGGGGCTCTGAAGAGCTGTCGCTCTCGACGCCGCAGAACTGTAGCCCTGCCGCAACGAACTTTCGTCGCGGGCCCCCTGGAGATGATGGCGAAGGCGACGATGCTGGCAGGACGCCTGGATGAAAGTGGCCATCGCGCGGTCTGCGCTGGCCACATGCGCCGTGGGCGGCGCGTCGGGGCTGGCCAAGTCAATCGCAGGCTCGTTCACCGCCGAAACGGCCCACGACGCGGCCGCCGCGGGCATCGCGGTCGGGCGCGCTTGGAGGTGCATGCACCTCCCCTTGGAAGTCGGCGCAGTACTTGCCGACGAGGGGGCCATCCACGCGATTTGCGTTCGCAGAGGCGCGGGCGGGCCGAAGCCTCGCCGCAACGCGCGCGACGCCAAGAGCGAGCGCGAGGTCGTCGAGCGCGACGCCACGGGGGCGGCCGCCGCCCACCATGCGCGCTCGGACATCGCGAAGCTGTTCCCGCTCACCTGCGCAGCGCTGAGCGGCTGGGGCCAACCTGGGCTGGACACGCTGCCCGGGCCCCCTGCTGCAGTCGGCGGCGGGTCTCGTCGAGAAGGTCCTCCCGTTGGACACGTGCACCTGGGCCTCGATGCACGTCGTCCTCGTGAACGGCGCGTCGATGTCCACATGGGCCAGCTGATGATGGTGGGCAAGGGCTAAGAAGTGACCTACGAGGCGGTGGGCAGCGGCGCGCGCACGCTCGAATCGCCAGCCGTCGGGCGCCAAGGGCCGAAGCCCTCGGAGGGCAGGGCCGCCGGGGCGTTCCGCCCGAAGAGGGCCGGGAGCCGCTGGAAGCCGAGGGCTTCAAATGCACGGCATCAGAGGGACTTGGCCTGATCCCGCGGATCAAGTACTTCACGCTGGCAACTGCCTACGAACTTGATCGCGATTCTGCTGCGCGCGTGAGATGCTTCGCGCAGCTTGCTGGCATCGCAGAAGCTATCTTCGAGCAACACCGCGCGCCAGTCGACGCGGGGGCGCCGCAGCGCGCGGTGAACGCCTACCTGGGCGAGTTCCAGCGCTTGCACGGCGACGATATGATGATCCCGAAATCTCAGTATCCAGTCGCGTCGCTCGCTCTCCCGCCCAGCCCGTCGGCGCCGAGCTGCAGCTCAGTCAAGTCTGTAACCCTACCTATACGACCACCTGCAGGTGATAACGAGGTTGGGGGGGAGGGGGGCCAGCAATGGGCAACAGTGGGGATTGTTGCGTTGCCGCTCGCTCTGGGGAGCCTTGGTGTCGAGTTGTTTACGTCATCCTTCGCTCCTTGGTAAGAGAGTTGAGGGGGGGAGGACACAACGTCTCACTCAATCGATCTCACAATGGACCCCACTATCGCTTTGACAATCGATCTCACTCGATCGATCACACAATCGATCTCACTCGATCGATCTCACTATCGATCTCACTATCGATCCCAATCAATCGATCTCACTATCGATCTTTCTATCGATCTCACAGGCGATGTCGTTATCGGTCTCCCGATCGATATGACCATCAATATCACGATCGATCTTTATATCGATCTCACAAGCGATGTCGTTATCGGTCTCACGTTCGATGGGACCATCGATCCCACTATAGATCTCACTCGATCGATCTCACTGTCGATCTCACTCGATCGATTGCACTGTCGATCTCACTCTGGATCTCGCTATCGATCCCACTAACGATCTCCCTATCGATATCACTCGATCTCATAATTGATATCACTATTCATCTCACTATCGATATCACTATCGATCTCACGATCGATCTCACTATCGGTCTCACTATCGATCTCACTATCAATCTCACAATCGATTTCGTCATCGGTCTCACTATCGTTTTCGCACCAGCGGGACACCGGGACACCGGCGGGACACCGGCGGGACACCGGCGGGACACCGGCGGGACACCGGCGGGACACTGCGGGCCACCGCTTGCCCGAGGGAGAATCATTTGGTCCGGCCGGGGCCCAGCCACAGGAGACTTTCCTCACGCCCGCCCACGCAGCTTCGCCTCGCCCGCACGCACGGCACGCACGAGCACGAAACCGAAACCGAAACCGATGTCCCGGTGGGGGGCTCCCCGTTCCACTTCGATCTCAACCCCTCACCTCCGATCTATCTAATCCCACTCATCCGATCCCATCGTAAAGTTCAGGATCCAGCGCGGCTGCAGCCGCGGCTGGAGCAAAGAGGACGGGCCCCGACCCGCGCGCTCACACGTGGCGCGCGGGCGAGGGCGGATCTCATGCACCTGCCCGCGCTGATAGAGAAAGGGGCCCCGTGCCCACGTGCGGGTCGCTGGAGCGGAAGCACGAGGCCGTTGAGAAGCACGCGAGCCACGTCATTCGATACTGCGCTGTCACCTCGGAGCCCTGGACCTTCCAGGGCAAGGAGTACGGTGCCAGCGTCTGGCGGACGTCGGTGGCGCACGGCATCACTGTGTAGCACGTGGCTTCGGACGAAATCGTGCAGGCGGCGACCGCGTGGTCCATGAGATTTGGAGACCGCGCCATCGTCCTGAACCCGCCGGGCTACGGCTAACTCATCGGAGCTGCACTTCCTGCACGTTGGGCTCGGGCGGCGAGTTCGACGGCTGCGGTCGCGCAAAAGACTTAGAGCCGTAGCTCCAGCGGCTGCACCATGCTTCCTTCTCATACTATTCCTCTGGACCCCAACATACCTTAACATATCTTAACATACTTTAAATACGTCGACCGAATATATCATACGTTAACATGTTTTCGCATACTCTAGTGAACCTCATCAACTTAGCATGCCTTAGCATATGTACCAAAAAGATGAAAGTATGCGAAACGATCTTCTAGCGTAATAAAGTAAGCAGATTGTTCAGTCAAAACCTTGTAGAGCTTAGCAAAGCCACCCTGCAACCAAATCGCGTCGTACGCTCGCCGCTCGCCGCTCGCCGGGTTGGGCCCCTCAGAAAGGACGACCAGGCGTCTCAGGAGGCCTCTGGGAGCGCATAGGTGAGGCCCCCTCTTCGTCTCGCGCACCGCGCCCCGCGATGCGCGCGACGCGCGGCCATCTTCGCGCCCCCGCAAGGCCACCTCGGCGACGGGCAGGCAGCCGCCCGGCCGGGGTCGCAACGCGCGAAGCGCGCGGTCACTCTCGCGCCCCAGGGGTGGCCCGAGCTGCCGAGCAGGCGGCGGCCACAGCGGCCAGAGGCACGGCCCGCCGCCCGCAGGCGGCGGCCACGTCGGGCCGCCACGGCTCCCAGCGACCCGCCCGAGGGGCACGGGAGGTCGCGGGCGGTGACCGCATCCATATCCACAGCCCTGTGGGCGGGGCCCCCAGGCCGCGACCCCACGAGCACGTGCTGCTGCCCCGCGGATGCCCCGCGCGGGAGGGATCCACGCGGCCGCGTGCCCCCGGCATCGAATCCCAGAATCCAAACCGCGAACGGGGCGGCTTCAGCCGCGGCGGCGGCGGCGGCGGCGGCGACGACGAGGACGACGAGGACGAGGACGACGACGACGACGACGACGACGACGACGACGACGACGACGACGACGACGACGACGACGACGACGACGACTCGTGAGAGGGGGCGGCGGACGCGGCGGGTGCGGCCCACCTGCCGCAGGCACTTCAACGCCACGAGCGCCGTGAGCAGCGTGAGCAGCCGCGGCCCCTCGACGCCGCAGGCCGCGCCGAGCGCTGCGGCGCCGGCGCCCGCGGGCCCGGCGGCGGCGACGTGGTCGAAGAGGCCGAGCTCCAGCGCGGCGAAGAGCGCCTGCGGAGGGGGGGGGGCCGAGCCCGTGAGCCGACGGAGCCGACGGCCAAGCCGGGCTCCAGCCCTGCAGGGGGGCGCCCAGGCGGCGGCAGGCCCGAGGCCGCCCAGAGGCGGCGCCCGGGCCGAAGGCTGGCCGGACCGACAATCAGACGGAGCTCCAGCGCGGCGAAGAACGCCTGCAAGGAGGCGCCCAACGACGGCGGGTCAAGGCCGTCCACGGCGCAGCCGGCCGGGAGCGACCGAGACCGAATCGAGCAAACGCGTCCGAGAGGCACGCAGCGACGCAGCAGCGGCACACCGAACCGACCGAACGCAGACGACTGCGACGCAGCCGAACCGACCGAACCGCGTACACTCTTAGAGGTTTGTGCCGTGACGTTTCGCACGCTGGTTGCTGGCACCGCGTGGCACGCTCAACCCTGAACGGCCGCGGCCTTCTGACGGCCGAGGTCGTTCAAAATTGGCCGAATTCGGGCCGCCGACACGCTTCGGCCTCGAACGCCAGCGCTTGCTTTCGCCGCTGCATCGACTCGGCGCTAACCCACCAGATACACCCACACCGGTCTTGGCCACGCCCATTCCGAGCCCAGGGTCGGTGCATACGCCCTCCTGACTCGGCCAGGAGGTCATGCATACCCGTCCTGGGCTTGGGATCGACGCGCCCAGGATCGGCACAGGTGTGCAATTGACGCCCTCCGAGCCTGGGAAGCCATGAAGCCATAGGCCACGCTGTCCTGCGGGCGCCGCTCGGAGAGGGAGGGAGGAGCCCCCGACTCTTCGTCGCGGAAAAATCGTCACGGCTGATTTCTTCGAGTGAGGCCTCTGGAGGCCCGTTGCGGGCCCTAAGAAAAGGCAGCCTGGGACGACAAACGTGTGGCGTCCAGAAACAGATAGCGGTGCAGTCCAAAGCGCGCGAAACGCCTCCAGCAGATGCTCGCATAGACGCCTGATAACAGGATGTCTGGGGAGCTGGCAAGCTCGAGAGTAGGAGCCTCGCAGGGGACCTCAAGGAGCTTCAGAGGAGTTGCGGAAAGGCTTCCGGCACGCGTACTGGGAACGAGTAGGACAACGCCTCTCGGGACCCGCTACGAACTCAAGCAGCCCGCTGCGGGGATACCTGCCCAGCGCCACAGAGAGCTTCCAGGCCACCCTGCGCTGCCAACTTTTAATCGGTGGTGGACAAACCTCGCTTTAGTAAACCACCCTTTAGTGAAAATTGCCTAGGACCGAAACCGACGGACCTGGATCCGCAAAAATGACGGCCGCGACGCCCTCTCGCGAACCGAAAACGGCCAATTCGCTAATCGACGCGTCAGGGCAGGAGGGCTATCAACCTCCGATGTAATATGAAGCCCTCTTGGCTCCCAGAGAGCTATCCGGGAAACAATCCGAGGGATGGAATCGAGAGGCCCTTGGCCCACGTCACGATTCGGATGTGAAGGGAGGGCGGAAGAGGAGGTTGAGGAGGAGGAGGGGGGAGAGAAGGAGGAGGAAGAGGAGGAGGGCGAGGAGGACGACGACGACGACCAGAGTAGACCCACACCCCCTCGCCCCAAGGGGGCCTCCTCACAAACGACGCCCGCAAGTGCCTCTTTTCACCACGGCGAGTGCCAGCGGGAGCGGCGAGTCCAGTGGACGTGCATGGCGGGAGCCATGCTCGCATACTACTGGCGTCCGCATTGATGGTCAGACCGAGCACTGCCAGACAGACAATGGATGCCGCACGTATCTATGATAATTCCGACCTCAGGCGACATAAGCCACCCAGCCAAGGACCGCCCGGGCCTCTGGGCGAGCTCGGGGATGAGCACGATGGCAAGGGAGGATCCCCGAGAGTGAGCATTCGGCGTGCCACGGTGGGGGGGCATGCTCGCGTGCACTGGCGTCCACATAGACGGTCACACTAATCTGCAATCGCTTCCCAGAGACCAAGAGACAAGAGGCTCCCAAGAGACCCCCAATAGGCCCCAAGAAGCTCTCCGAAGCACCCAAGACGCCCTGAGAGGCGCCCGGGACCGCCAAGAGGCCCCCAAGACGCTCCACTGCCCACTTCCCCGATGGAGGCGATGCGTCTGGGCATCGTTTCTGGATGGGCTGGTGGGGTTACTTTTTTGTTACCAGCCGCGGGCGAGCGCGCCGACGGCGTGTCAAGGTCCGAGCGTGCCGCGCGAGGTCCTAAATTACCTAGCACAAGCAGGCCTACCGCCGCAACTCAGGCCGAGACCAGGAAGTGGCCGAGGAGAAGGGGGGCAGCGGGCTGCAGGCTGCCAGGGGCTGCCAACGTGCACCCCCCGAGCTGCAGACGCGCTGCTGACTGCCAGGGGCTGCTGACTGCCAGGGACTGCAGGCTGCCGGGAGTGAATTGAACTGCAGAGCGAAGCGTCAAGAATTTGTAGTCACACGACGCTTGCGGAGCACAGTCAGCTCGAGGGGGGCCCTGCCCTCCGTGGCACGCCGCGGACGCGGCTGGCAGCGCTCGAGAGCTCCTGCGGCGTCGGAGCGAGCGCGAGACGCGGACGACAGCTCGCCCCCCACGCACACAGGTGCTGGAACCATCAATCTTTGATGGGCTTGTTTTTCCACCACCACCACCACCACCACCACAAGTTGGGGGGGAAGGAGGTGGAGGATGAGGAGGAGGAGGAAGAAGAGGGGGAGGAGGACCCCCATCCCCCTCCAACCGTATGCTGGTGGTGGTGGAAAACGGGCCCATCCGCCCTCGAGATCGGAGAACTGGAGGCGGTCGCCAGCAAGAGCCATACCTCGAGCAGCTACCGCCCTCTGACGCGAGGCTCATGAAATTATTAGGGGGGCACATGTGAACCCTACCCCTACCCCCCACGATGTTTGAGGGGAGGGTGGGGTTCACTTCGCTCGGGAGCTCCCGAACGAAGTGAACCCCACCCTCCCCCTCGGAAATCGTGGGGGGTAGGGGTAGGGTTCACATGTGGCCCCCTAATAATAAAAACACATGTGCGCTGCGGCAGGGCGAGGGCAAGATCTCGAAGAGGAACCGCCCTCCGTCCGTACGGCCGGTACGAACTCTTGGGATGAGCGTGCGCGGCGCTGAGGGCGAGAACCCGCTCTCCGTCCGAGCACCTGACGCGAACGTGTAGCGAATCTGCGCAGCACTGGAGCGAGAACTACAGATTGAGAACGGCACATTCGAGCGGGCTCTCGCCATCTCTGCAGGGCTGCGAACTGCAAACCTGTCGCCACTTTCGAAGGCTGCTGGGGGCTCTAGCGCAAGCAGATTCCGGTCAGACCTCGCCATCCCTGGGGGGCTGCGATCTGCGAAGCTGTGGCCACTTTCGAGGGCTGCCGGGGAGCCCAGTATATTGAGCGCGTAGCTGTTGACAGTGTCCAGACTTGGGAGCACTGGCAACGATGAGGTACGTATACAGAAGCGTTTGCTCAGCGTGCCGCGGCGGCGGCCCTGGCGACACGCTGTGCCCTGCGAGCGGATGGCGTGTCGCTCTGCTCCGAGAGGCGGGGGGCCCGGGAGAGTAGACGCCTGGCGACCGGGAGGCGATCGGCGTGCGGCGCCGAGGCGTGGCGGACCGAGCCCGGCGGCGCGGCGTGCTGCGACGTGGTGCCCGACCGTGGTCGGGGGATGCCTCGGGCGAGGCGCCGGGGCCGCCAGCTCCGACACGCCGGGTCGCACAGGGAAGAGCCCCGTCGATCGCAGAGAGGAGGAGGAGGAGGAGGAGGAGGAGGAGGAGGAGGAGGAGGAGGAGGAGGAGGAGGACCAGGGGAGCATTAATACAGGGGCAAGCAGGATGGGCGAGGAGGACGAGCAGGGTTCAGCATACCTCCCCACGCCGCCATGGCCGCCACCCGCCCCTTGCCAGGCGTGCGAAGGCAATGCGCCCTCCTGTCGGCGTGTCGTCGACGTCCTCCCGCTTATCGCCCCCTCCCCCTCCTACTCGTCCTCCTCCCCTCCCTCCTCCCAATCCTCCCCCCCTCCACGTCCTCTTCCCGATCATCCCACTCCTCCTCCACCTCCACCTCCACTTCCATCCTTGTTCTTTATTATTATATACCCCCACCTACCTCGTATTCCGGCCGATAGCAACCCACTCCGGGACCTCCCCTCCCGACTGTAAACAAATCAATACAAAGTGGCCGTTTTTCTTCTCAACATCGTCTTTCTTGTCGTCGACGATGCGAAAAGCGTGGCAGGAATGGGACGCGGCGCACATCGCGCGCGGCAGTCAATCTGGGCCCGCCCATCCTGACTTTAAAAAATCAATACAAAGTCTCCGCCTTTTCCTCTCAGCATGGCCTGCCTTGTCGCCGACGGTGCGAAATATGTGGCAGGAATGGGACGCGGCGTACATCGCGCGCGGCCGTCAATCCGGGCCCGCCCATCCTGACTGTAAAAAATCAATACAAAGTCTCCGCCTTTTCCTCTCAGCATGGCCTGCCTTGTCGCCGACGGTGCGAAATATGTGGCAGGAACGGGACGCGGCGCACATCGCGCGCGGACGTCCATGCGGGCTGCGGGCCCTCCCATCCTGACTGTAAAAAACAATACAGAGTTGCCGTTTTTCCTTTCATCATGGCCTGTCTTGTCGTCGACGATGCGAAATGCGTGGCAGGAATGGGGAGCGGCGCACATCGCGCGCGGACTTCTGGGGCAACCCCAAGGCGGGAGGGGCCACCTTACTTGTCGGAAGCAATGCCATGCTGATTTTCGCTTGCCCACATAGCTGTTCTTGTCGTCCACCCCGCAAAAGTGCATGGCAAGAATTGTGCGCGGCACAAACACACACACACACACACACACACACACACGCTCGAAGTGAATGAAATTACCTTCTCGCTTGGGCGCCGAGCGAAAGTTTCTCAAAGTTACGCTCCCGCTTTGGCTCGGCGCACGTTTTTAGCTCGCAAATTCATTGGGCGCCGGGGCGTTCCAGGAGGCCCTGGGGTGACGAATGCCTGGGAGGTTTTTGCTTGTTCAGACTCTTGGAGGGCCTCCTGAGTCTCCCCGCGGTTTCTTGGCGCTACGGCCGTCTGGAGGCCATCTTGGGCGTCTTGGAACGATCTTTCGGCGACCCAGGGCCACTACTACTACTGCTACTGCTACTGCTACTGCTACTGCTACTGCTACTACTACTACTACTACTACTACTACTACTACTACTACTACTACTACTACTACTACTACTACTACTACTACTATTACTACTACTACTACGACGACAACGACGGCGACGACGACGACGACGACTACTACTACTACTACTACTACTACTACTAATAATAATAATAATAATCATAATTAACAAATAAACATAAAAATAAATATATATATATATATATATATATATATCTATATATATATATAATATATAATATAGAAAAAAAAAAAAAAAAAAAAAAAAAAAAAAAAAAAAAAAAAAAAAAAACAAAAAAAAAAAAAAAAAAAAAAAAAAAAAAAATACTACGACTACGACTACTACTACGACTACGACTACTACTACTACTACTACTACTACTACTACTACTACTACGACTACTACTACTACTACTACTACTACTACTACTACTACTACTACTACTACTACTACTACTACTACTACTACTACTACTACTACTACTACTACTACTACTACTACTACTACTACTACTACTACTACTACTACTACTACCTACTACGACTACTACTACTACTACTACTGCTACTAGCACCCAGTTGCGCCAGCATTGTTTCTTATGTTGTGGGAGGGCGGAACGTGTCCGTTGTTCCTTTCAACATGGCCAGTCTTGTCGTCGACGTTGCGAAATGCGTGGCGGGAATGGGACGCGGCGCACATCCCGCGCGGACGTCAATGCGGTGTCCTGGGGTATCCTCCACTCGCACTGAAATGCCCGCGCAACCCCCAGTTGTGCCATCACTGTTTCTTATGTTGTGGGAGGGCGGGTGGGAATGGGCATGCCATGCTTGACTCGCTCGAGCTGGCTAGCTTGACCTCCACCTCCACCTCCACCTCCTATCTCCTCCTCCTCCTCCTCCTCCTTCTCCTCCTCCTCCTCCTCCTCCTCCTCCTCATCCAACCTCGGCCTTCTTCTCCTGCGTCTGCTCCCCCCATCCCTCATTCTCCTCCCAGACATACCCGGCTCCTCGCTCCTCCACCTCAATCCTCCTCCTCCTCCTCCTCCTCCTCCTCCTCCTCCTCCTCCTCCTCCTCCTCCTCCTCCTCCTCCCAGCCGACGTCCAGGTCCACGTCGCCGCCGGCCTCCCAGCTCCGCCGCGGCTCCGGCTCCGGCGCCGCGGAGGCCGCGGAGGCCACCAGCTCGGTGCCCCAACCGCAGAGGAGCGAGGGAGGGCGAGGAGCGGGGAAAGACGGGGAGGAGCCACACGTCGGTCGGAAGAAGTAGGCAGAAACATGGGGGAGGGTGCTGAAAGTAGATCGGGTCTCGGCTCATGTTGCTCCCATCGTACTGAAGGACCACATCCCAGAAATAATTTCGAGCACGCGGAAGTGTCGAAAGAGTATCGAAACAGTGACGGGCGAGTGTCTCCCAGGGCCCGACACGTGAAAACCCTTGAGGAGGACGGAGGAGGGGAAGCCACTCGATCACTGAAGAAGGAAGGCGCTTGAAGAAAATTGGAGTCTGGGAATCCAGAAATACCTACTTTCAACGACCGATGAGTAGACGTTCTCCTGATCCTGAAAGAGATAACCTGCACAGACATACATGTATTGCTTATTGGAGGTCCGCGCGGATTTCTGGGATCGGCGCTGGGCCCCCCCTGGCGGCGCCTCCAGCGCCGATCCAAGAAATCCGCGGGGTCAAGGAGGAGGAGGAGGAGGAGAAGAAGAAGAAGAAGAAGAAGAATCAACATAAAAGAAAATGAAAACATAAGAAGAAGAAGAAGAAGAAGACACAAAACCGCATGATAATTTGTGCTCTGAGCGATCCCCATACGAGAACGCCAGGCGGGATGCCCAGGAGCACCAGGCCCCTCGGGGCCCGGCGGCCGCGGCATGCGGCCGCCACTCGTCGAAGCCGGCGAGGCGGGATACCCAAGAGGCGCTGGCACGCTTTGGGGTACACCCTGCGAAATGCTTAAGAAATCATGCGTTAAGAAACTCAGAGTCTCAGAATTTGAATAAAAACCCAGAATGTCTATTGAAATCTTAGGATTTACATTGAAACATTAAGAATAATCGAGACTCTGGCCGAAAACTTAAGTTTTCTTAAGCATCGCCTAGGGTGTATGCGGCGTGTGCGAGGCGGGCCAGGGGCTCCTTCCTTTGAAACTAGGAACCGCAAGCTGTCGAGTGAGGAACTTTCGGGGACCCCGGAGGCCCCCGAGAGCGCTCCCGGGAGACCCCAAGAGCTATCCCTGAGGGCTCTGGCCCCCAGCCCAGGCAGGGTGGCGCGATGGGCCGAAGACCATCAAACAGCAGCCCAAACCTGTCGGCTGGGGAACTTTCGGGGACCCGCGTGGACTTCTTGGGGTACCTAAATAGCGTTGCCCATGAGGGGTGCGCGGGAATGCCACGGACGAGGCTTCATGATTGTGGACGCCATGACAATGGACACTCTAACAATCCTATCATTGAATGAAAGATGTGTTTAAAAAGCGTGAAGCGTGTTCTAACCATGTTTCAAGCATGTTTTTGCATACTTGAAACATGTTTGAAACATTGTTTACACATCTGGAAATTATCTGGCAGCACGCTGCCTCTCCATTAGTCGACGTCCACAACGGCGTGGGGGGAGCGAGCCAGTGGCCCGAGCGATGGGCCCGAGCGCGAGGTCGCAACGCGGCGGGGCGAAGCGCTGCAAGACGAGGCCAGGACGGGGTCAAACCTGTGGGGGATACCCTGAGGATCGCTGAGATCCGGCGGCTCTGGAGACCGTTCCAATGTCGTGATGCGCTCTGCTTTTCTGCGTCACAGTCGTGACGCGCCCGGTCGTTCCGCGTCGCAGTCGTGAGGCACTCCGCTTCTGCTCCACAGTCGAGCCTGTGCGTGCACGCAGCCGCTCCGTAATGTCTTTTCAGTCCTACTTTTCTGAAGAGTTGCCAATCGCGCACTCATAAAACAGGGCTAGGATCGGGATGAATCGCTCCAAAGCGTTCCGGAGCGCTCTCAGAGCGTTCCGGAACGCTCTGGAGCGGCCGCGGCGCCCAATACATCCTCCAAACCTGCCGATTCTCAGAGATTTCGAGTTATCCCGATCCGTTTTTGTCCCGATCTTCGTCTCGTTTTAACGCGTCCCTCCGGACGCTCGACTCCGTGGTGGTGGGGCGAGAACCCGGGTGATCCCGGGGGGGTGGGAGGAGAGGCCGGCCGATCCCCTAACCCTCGCGCTGTGGGCAGCCCTGCATATGCCCGCGCCACCCCCCTCCCGCGGACCTGCACAACTGGCAAGGTTTGATTATCCTGGGGGGGGGGAGGGAGGGGGGGGGGACTGACTGACCGACTGACAAACCATACACCAAGCGGTGCGTGGGCATGAACGCTGGCTTAAAGAAGAGCCTGGGCCTTGGCTGCACGCCGGGCCACTGCAGTCGGCTACCAGTGAGAAGCTGTACTTGTGCGCTGGGGGCCCAGGGCACCACAAACGGGAACGGCGCGCAAGTGGGTCACACTGAGACGACCAGGAGGAGGAGGAGGAGGAGGAGGAGGAGGAGGCGAGGAGGGGGGGGGGGGGGGCAAGCCCGATAACCCGGGTTATCGCCCGACCCAAAAAAAACAGTCTCCTGGAGCATGTCTCGGGCGCCACGGCCTTCGGAGAGCGTTCCCGGAAGGCCCAGAGAGCGCTCTGGAACGCTCTGGAACGGATTATCTCGCCATCGCTCGGACGTCCATTTCCCGTGTATTTTTCGGTTTCGTGCGTTTTGTTTTGCTCGATGGTCCAGGATGGTCCTCGATGGTCCTCGCTCGCCGAGAAAAAAATGCACACGTCCGAGCGATGCCAGGGACCTGTCCTCGTCCTGGCCCCGTTCGATGCTGGGAGCCCAGACGTCCGGCGATGTGATGTCTTCGAGCCGCGGACCGAGAGCAGTCCCCACCGCTTCCCCGGGAGCCGAGAGGCTCGTCCTGGGTCTGCTTCGGATGCCCCTGGGGCCCAAAAAGCCGACCACCAAGCGCCGAGATCGAGGAAAAACGCCGGCAGAAAAGCAATCGAAGGAATCGGATCGAAAAAACGCTGGCCAGAAAGCAACGCAGGACAAGAGAAGAATCGAAAGAACACACTGGCAAAAAAAAACACCCGGATTGGAAAGAAAACGCACGCAAGAAAATGCTGGCGATCTGGACCCCGAGGGGAGGAGGAGGAGGAGGAGGAGGAGGAGGAGGAGGAGGAGGAGGAGGAGGAGGACGAGGAGGAGACAGGGACCCCGAGGGGGCGGGGGAGCAACAGCGGCAGCAAGTGCTGGGAGCCTCCCGCCCGCAGCGGCGGCGGCGCGGCCGCGACATGGCGCGCCAGCAGGCGCGCGCGACGGAGGGGCCCCTGCGGCGTGCCCCCGGAAGGACCGGTCCGCTGGTCCATGCCGGAGGTGTAAGTGCGAGTCGGGGAGTATCCATACCCACCGCCTGGGAACCGACGTCCTGGTGCCCCAGCGGGCGGCGGATATGGATATATGTCGGCCCCCGCGGGCCCGAAGATGTCCGTATCCACCGCCTGCCGAGGCTCCGGAAAACTGACCCTCCAGGCGGTGTTGATGTATAAATTCCCTCCTCGGAGTAAGGCGCCGAGATCTGTACATGCCTGCCGATCTCCGACAACACGGTTTCCCAATCTGGGCGTTCTTCCTCGAGCTCGGCCTCCGGGGCTTGTTCGGGCCCCAGGGCCATCAGAAATGGATTTCAGTCAGAAAGCTAATCTCCCAGGGAAGGGCTCGGGGCCCCAGGGGCCGCGGACTGAAGAAGCATGTCAGAGGATGTCTGAGCATGTCCACCGCTGGTGGCCAGGCCGGGAGCGGGGGGCACGCACAGACTTCGATGCCCGAGGGTGGTGCGCCTGCCTTACACTGCCACCACTGCACAACCGTCCGGCAAGCTCGACGACGAACGATCGGCGGCTCCTGCTCCTCCTCCTTTGCCTCCTCCTCCTCCTCCTCCTCCTTCCCCTCCTCCTCCTCCTCCTCCTGCCCCTCTCCTCCTCCTCCTCCTGCTCCTCCTCCCCCTCCTCCTCCCCTCCTCCTCCTCCTCCTCCTCCTGCTCCTCCTCCCCCTCCTCCTCCTCCCCCTCCTCCTCCTCCTCCTCCTCCTCCCCCTCCTCCTCCTCCTCTCTCGCCTCGGCGTGCGCTGCCGGCGGGCTGCGGCCGGTCGTGGAGCGCGTCCGCGCCGGGCGACGTTGCTGACCCACAAGGCCCTGCGGGACCCGCTGGCTGCCGACTGCCGTCCACGAGGAACTCAGAGGCATATGGGCATCGGGGCGCGGGAGGAGGAGGAGGAGGAGGAGGAGGAAGCCCATCTGGCCTCTGGCGGGCTGGGGCCGTGAACGATCATCCGTTCGGCCTGATCGTTCGATCGCGCCGATCGACTCACGCCAATCGTGATCGGCCGCCCGCGGGGCCGGGCTCGCGCGCCGCGGCGGGTCGGCGATAGCCGACGCCGCAGCCGCGACCCTGCGCCTGGCTGCGCGCCCGCTGGCGCGCCACGTGGGGCCAGACGCCTCTGGAGCCCGCCTGGCACAGGCGGGAGAGGGCACGCCGCTCCTCGGCGAGGGCCCTGCTGCGCGTGGTGGAGGCGGCCAACGTCCTCAACAACCACCACTCAGCGCAGCAGCCCCAGCGCCAGCAGCAGCACCTGCGCAGCCGCAGCAGCAGCGCGATGGCAGCCAACGCAAAGTCTCACGGTCATCCAGTGGGTGCCAAGCCGTGGCCATGGAGGTCAAGCACACCAGCATCTGGCTCAGCTCACCGCCGACACCACGGAGGGCATGGACAGCAGCAGCCACGGTACCAGCCCCAGCACAACCAGCACCACCACGCCTCCTACCACGACGAGGACCGACAGCAACACAACTACGCCCAGCATCAGCAGCAGCATCAGGACGATCGCACCACAGCGAGAATGAAGCGGTCTTCCTCGAGACGACGCCGCCTGGCCTCCGAGGACACCACCAACGACCACCGACATCTGCAGAAGCTGACGAAACGACAGTTGGAGGTCACTGACAAGGTCATGCCCGCTTTGCTTTCGGATGCCAAGGGACATGAAAGCTTTTCTCTTCCTCCCGACGAGCCAGACATACGTCGGGTCTGGCACGCAACCAAGGTGGCGAGGATGGCACGTCTCGCCGACCAAGTCCTCGGAGCCAGGCAAGCTCAAGTTGACCCAACCCGCCTGATCGAGGAGCTGGCCATCGTCAAGACCATGCTACATCTATTGGACACGCCTACTGCTCGCATCGCTCAATACAGA